TAGACCACGGAAACTACACCTAGACCACAGAAACTACACCTAGACCATGGAAACTACACATAGACCACAGAAACTACACCTAGACCACAGAGACAACATCTGGACCACTGAAACGACACTTGGACCATAAATGTTCAGTAAGGTCATCTGGACAGTTTCTTTTTCTGCTGAGACATTTCGTCCTTCATCCAAAGGACTTCTTCAGTCCAAGGAGCCACAAATAAACTGGAGTCCCGCAAGCACCAACTCCCATAGGGGGGGGGGGGGGGGGGGGGGGGGAGAGTTTGCTGGTGATGAGATGGTTTCTGGGGCCCGCCCTCTCCCTCGTCAACCCCTGTAAGGCAGGAACTAGATCTAGAGTACAGAAACTACACCTGGATCACAGAAACTACTCATGGACTATATAAACTCACACCTGGGCCATAGAGACCACACCTGAACCATAGAAACCACACCTGGACTGTAGAAACTAGTCCTGGATTATAGAAACTAGTCCTGGACTATAGAAACTACACCTGGACCATAGAGACCATGCCTGGACCATAGAAACCACACCTGGACCATAGAAACCACACCTGAACTATAGAAACCACTCCTGGACCATAGAAACAGTTCCTGGACTGTAGAAACAACACCTGGATTATTTAAACTACACCTGGACCATAGAGACCACACCTGGATGATGTAAACTACATTTGGACCATAGAAACCATTTCTGGGCCATAGAAACTACCGTACACCTGGACCATGCAACATCCTTGCTAGTTTTGACCACCTGATCTGTGGTCGATCCTTAAATGTCATTAGATGTTAAAGTTTATTTGCTTTTCATTGTTTTTGTTTTTCTTGATGTTTCAGTCATCTTGGGTTGGAGTGAGAACATTTGTGTCGTTTCCAGGTCACTTCATTCCTCCGAGACTTTTTTAAAGGTTACCTGAATCTTTTGTTAGGGTTCATTGCTGCTTGTTGTTCGGGAATGAACTGAGACATGAGTTCAGTGTGGGGAACCTAAAGGTCTGAAATCTCATTTACAAAAAGAAGGAGAAGAAGAAGACAGAAGTGTGTGTGTGGGGGGGGGGGGGGGGAGGAGGAACAGAGGGAAAAGGGTAAGAGAGAGGAGGAAAAGGAATAAGAGGACAGAGAGAAGAATGAAAAGAAGGAAGAGGAGGAAGAGTTTGAAGGAAAAAGAAGAAAAGGAAGAGGGTGAAGTGGTAGAAGAAGAAGAAGAGGAGGAGGTGGAAGAGAGATGGAGAACGAGGAAGAAGAGTAGGAAATGGAAGGCAGATAAAGAAAGTGGCTGAATGATGACGATACAAGTATTAAAGTGGTTTCATGATGTCGTGAACTGAGTGCAGGTGTGGAAGTTGTGCTCACACAATAAAGTGTGGCCCGCGCACCTCGCTGCTCACTCAGAACTCAGCTGCTTTAAATCCAGATGTTTCTGCTTCAGATCAGAACCCCTCAGAGCTGTAACGGGTTCTGATCTGTTTACTAAAGTTCAATCCATCAGCTGCAACTTAAGTACAAACCTCAGAGCTGCTGTGCGTGTAACTGAACCTCAAGCGTCATGTTTGGGGGCTCAGTGGCGTTCATATATTCTCCAAGACCCCCTCTTGAAACCAACAGAATGAGCTACAACGTGTTCTTATGAAGATATCCCTGAAATCCATCAGGATCCGGTCGCTCTGAGTCTATAGCTCTGATTCATATTCAGTTACAGCTGTTGGAAGCTTAAAGGCTTTAGTTGTTTTGTTTACAGCTGCTGCCGGCGCACGCCAAGCCTTGTTCTGTCGATACCGTCAGCACCAGACCAACGATGAGTTGCTGACAGGATAACCTCGCTCTTCAGGATTTATTGAGTCTCCCCCAGTAAAACATAAACATGATCTGATCTCGTCATCTCCACCCATCTGCAGTTTGAACTGTTAAAGCCTCGTTAAAATTTGCTGCATGTATCAAGCTTTGAATTGTCCCGATAGTCATGTGTCAGGGAAGTTTTGGTCAAAGGTTATGGATGTTTTTATTACTATGGCGGAGAATGCTCTTCCTCTCTGCCCTGAGAAAAAATAGCTCAGTTGTCTTTCAAAACAAGCCAGACCATCTCCCAAAACACCATCTTATCTCTGCCCATGAGCCATACGTTTGTGCTGTGTAAGAAGACTGCAGCTGACTTCAAGGACACCCCCTGAACTCTGTTCAACTCTGAGCTGAGAGGGGTATAAAAGTGAGCAGATAACGCAGCTTGTGGCTCATTTCTGTGACTGGTCTTAATGTGTATACATTTATGATACATTTATGTATGCTTATGTATGTTTATGTATGTAACCAGTCCTGAAATCTGACCTTGCAAGTAAAATGCCACATATACGTAAATCTTCAGCTGCTGTACGTTGTTGTTCTTTTAAGTAAACGTCGGAGAACAAGATAATTTCTCCCACACCAGAGGCAAGCGGTAGCTACAGTTTGATTGTAGAAATTATGGACGGTCGGGTCCACTCAGCATCTGGAAAGACTAACCTGTAGGAAATGTTCAAAAATCTCATTTCTTTTGTAGAAAAGTACCAAGACAGCGATGGAGCTTGGCAGGACGTTCGGCACACTCTTCTCTGACATCTCGTTCAGACAGAAGCTCCTGGAGACGAAGACGCAGGAGGAGTTCAAGGAGGCTCTGGTTTTCCAGAGACATCAGCTCACAGCAGTCAACCAGCAGCCGGTGGTTCTGGGGAAGAAGGAGACGGTTCCTCGGAGTCACAGACCTCTCAAGGTGGGAAAAGGATTCACCATTCGCTCTATTAAAGTCCACCCAGTGGTTCATGAGATATTATGCTAACAGACACATTCCTTGTTCTTTAACCAATCCAGCCCAGTTGTTGCTGGACGTATAAGGTTCCTCTCTGTTGTAACCAGGTGGACAGTAATTCAGACCTTTAGCTTCATAAATTGCTGTTTTCTTGTTTACGTTCAGGTAAATAGTTCTGTTCTACAAAAAGCCGCTCAAGCATCTTATAAATCTTATAAAGTATTATTGAAATGAATTTAATTGATTTGTAGGAACATAGACCGACCAACAGCTCAGCTCCCTCTTCACTATAATGGACCAACACAGAGTCTGCAAAACTGCAGATGCTGCACTGACCCGTCTGTCAATCTCACGCTCCATTCTTCCCTCAATCCCGACTCTTGGGCCATAGAACGTAATAAGAGAAAGTTAATTATCAAAATAATTAAAAACAGAATAAAACTTGAGAAAATTGATATTTGTTAAGGACATTACACACTTACGTTCAGTCTATGCACCTCTTACTCAAACGCAGGATTCCAGGTACCTGGAAGTCTTGTTCTCGAGTGACGGCGCAACAGATTGGGCCTTTATTGAGGATGCAACCCTCTCTTATCGGCCCTCTCTAATCTCAGGACACCTTTGGACACCCCAGGAGGAGCTGGAGATTGTCATTGAGGAAAGGGAGGTCTGGATCTCCCTCTTTGACCTGTTGCATACGTGACCCAACCTCAATTAGAAAGTAGTTGAGTGTTCAATCTGTAGAGTCCACACAGAGATGTCTTGAAGACCGTTTGTTTATTTGACCATGATGGAGGGCAGTGTAGTGTTTGTACACGTAGTGGAGTGCGTAGACATTTTCTGGCATTGTTGAGAGCACTGCACTACACTAGAGCCAAAGTCTGGACCCAGACTGCACCTCACAACAAACCTCCAGGCGAGACTCGTGTCAAACCTCAACGAGTCCTCAGAGCAGGATGCCAGGACCTCACCCTTTAGGATGGATGCAGTCAGGAGCATTCTGAAGCAAAGTTGGACCATAGTGAATATGTAGGACAACCCAGATTATGGAGGCAGTCTATCACCAGGTGGGGGGGACGCATAGACAAGACACCCAGGTGATAGATCGGGATGCCTTGCAGAACAGTAGTCAGGAGAACAGGTGTCCCAGAAACTCAAGATCATCCAGAAACTGTTGGTTTCCTCTTGATCCTTTCTTCTTAAACTGGTGTAGTGTGGCCTCCCTTGTCCTCATCTACTTAACCCTCCACCACTCGATTCTTCTCACTTTACTGCTTTCTTCATGCCCTGAAGGGGGTGAGACAAAAGCAAATATAATTTTTCCTTTACCTTCTGAATTTATTTGTCCCCCATCACTGAGCGAAGAGAGGGAGTTGGAAATGTCCTCCATTCATCTGTCTGTGCATGTTGTGAGCGTAACTTGACAAATTAGTGAGGTGCCAACTTCCACTGTGGTGTATGGCTGCATCTAGGTGCAAAAAAAGTCCCTTTCAAAAATTGTGTTGCCAAACCAAAATCCAAGATGGCCACCACCATGTACTGGGTATATGTAAACTGACCACCTCAATAATTTGAGAATGCTTTCTAGTTTTTATATTAAAAGTATTGTTTCCTCAAATAATTGGGGTGGCTGAAGATTAATCTTTGGTGGCCAAGGCCACCAGTGATCATACCCTTGCTCCACCACTGTACCTGGTTGTGGATAAAATTGTTCCCCAGAATATGTCACTCTGCTGTGCCACAAACGTGAAGAAAAAAACACTCTGTTCTTCTCCGCAGTGTAACTCCTACCCGCTTGAATATCTGGAAACAAAAACATTGTTTACTTACATTCTCCATTTAATTCCAGTCCAGAAAACCTCATCTCCACAACTACAAACATTCACTATTCAAACCCCTCAGCGAGGGGGGACGTCGGCGTACCTCTTGTTGACCTCATCAATCCTCTGCTTCGTCTCTTCACCGGTGTCTTTGTTTCATTTCCACCATGAAGGCTGAATTCCCTCAATCTGCACAGCGTCGTTCCTACAGAACGATAAATCAGACACTTAAAGGGTGTCGGCTCTAATCCGGGGTGCGTTAATTAGTCATTACTGAGGCTGGTAATTCTAATCAACTTATCCTTTGCATTAGAGGGAACTTCCTTTCCTGGGGCTTTCCTCTTGAGCCACTTTTATTTAAAGTCTTCAATGGTGTTACAAGCTTCACATTTTTAAAACTTGTAAAAAAAAAAAAAAAAGTTAATTTAAGTTGTTTTAGAAGAAAAGCGATAAAAGGTTTAAATGAGTGGTCACAACTAGTGTCACTGGTCTTGATTACATCATCCTTGATGCAGCTTGTCCTTTCTCTCCACAGTGTAAAGATTTCTTCAGAGCTGGCCGGGGGATTTATGAGGACTTGTGCCGCAGACTGCCTTTCTACCCTTCTGACTTCACAGATGGTAGGCTGAACCTGGGCTCGTTCTGAAACGGCATCATTTTCGTTTAAAAGCCTCTCCAGTGTGCCGCTGACTACTACTTCTTTATTCTTCACCTTCTGCCTTAGTTACATCTGTGCTGTGTCTGTAGCATCCAGGGTTTTGTATTTTTGCTGAAATGACTCTAAACACCGCCCCCACACACACACACACACACACACACGTTTCTTTATGTTCAATTTTATTGTCATGTCTCGAGTCATCAACCACAAACATTGCAGCATACGTTGCCTTTTCAGTCACTAGTTTTACTGAGTCCTCAGCTCTGTCTACAAATATGTGAAGGGTCTTCTGCCTCCAGTCAAATATATGTACGCACTTGAAACAAGATATTTAGTATGGTTGTTTAAATGAGTTTATTTTTAGCAGGCACAGACTCCCTGCAGAAGCTGCTTGTATGAAATACACAGAAAACACGACCGAACCAGCTTGTGATTTTAGGCAAAAGTTATAAATCTTTTGCGCTTCAAACTACCCTTTTGACAGTGTTCTGAGTACAGGCTGTGAACGAAAAATATCTTACCTGGTGTAGATAGCTCGTTGATCAGCCTCAACTTAGAGAAAATAGTTTAAATCTGACCGAATCGATGAGCTAATGGCTAGTCTGAGCGGGGCGCATGTGGATCGCTGCCATCTTAAAACAATTTCACATAATTTGGTTATTTTGGTCAAAAATATGAAACTCCTGCATAGACTCCGATCTGCACTCACAGTGCTACTGCTAACTGCTTCTGCCGATATCTGCGCTACACATAACCATTAGGTTTTATTCAGTGGTTAATTTGATCTGGATCCTGCTGGAACAAGATCTGGGAACTCTCTCATTTTGACCCGTTCTGTTCCAGCAACTCTTTGCTCGGATCTGGCAGCTCCGCCCCTAAAAGTTCAAAGTCATCGTGGATTTTTATTTTGATTATTTATTAAATAATACGACGAGAGGAGACGTTGCCCTCAGCCCGGCGGACCCAGTCTGTGAATATTCCAGCCGCAGCACCAGCAAGAGAGTAGCCTCTAGGCGGGGGGGGGACGGGGGACGGATCAGATAGTCACATTTACGCACAGAGGTGCTGCGCGAAGTCCTCGTCTCATCCTCCTTTCCAAATATTGTCCCTCCTCAGCGGGGCCGCGCACTGAAAAACATCCCCTTTCTCCTCCTCCTCTCAGACCCCCGAACCAGAAACGATCATTTATTCAACAGAATAAATAAAGTTCCTGAGGACAGTACACGTTCCGCACAGAAAAGTCACTAAGCTCTACCCAGCACGCGCACATCAGCAGGTGTCTGAATTCCTGCTACATTTCAGACAATAAATAAAAAAAGCTTACTGTAAAAAATAAGTTACAGTAATTACAATAATTAAAATACAAAGATAGAAATGTTTGATGTTATTCACATTAAACGTCACGTTTCAAAACAACGGCGCTAATTTGTCAAAATAACAACAGCGATCAAAATGTCAAAAAGACAGTTCAGTTTACTTTAATAAAAAAATGGATGGATGGATTGTCCTTAGTTGGACACAGAGAATTGAATCCTTCAGGTGCTTCAATTACTACTCACCAACGATTTGATTGGTGGGTATAAAGCTGACAAAACTGGGTACGAAGTGGTCAGTTTGGAATGAAAAGACCCGTGGCAGCAGAGGTTTCTTCTTACCCAGAAAGTAAAGCTGCAAAGGGACCAAAGATCTAAAGGTGTGATTTGGTAGCAGAACGAATTGACCTGGAGCCTTCAATGAAAACAGATGAACTAAAACAAAAGCAAGAGCATTTTTTTTTTTTGTTTGTTTTTGTTTATTTTCATCTCTTCAGCCTCATATCTTTTCCTCTTCATCGTCTGAAAAAGCAAACATTGGGCTGTAAGAAAATCTCTGGGTGCGCGAGTTTCAACAGATAATCATGAAGGTCAAAAGACTAAAATCACTCTGATCACATTGGAGCCCAGTTAAAATGTTTCATTTTGTCGTGAGTTATCCATCATTTGGGAAACTGTTATTAAATGATGGATTACAGAAAACTGGGGCTCCTTATTGCAGGGTACTAAACGATGACTTCTGCTAATGTTTGTTTGGTTTTTAGGTTACGGAGCTGAGCCGCTTCCTTACGAGCTGCATCTGTTTGTCTGTCTCCCCTCAGGTGTAGTCGGCAGTAATAAAACCCTGCTGAAGTACATGACCACGGCCATCTTTCTCTACATCGCCATCCTCCTTCCTGCCATCGCTTTCGGCTCTCTCAATGACGAGAGCACCCGAGGTGAAATCGGTATGAGAAGGATGCGGTTCAAGGTCGACACGGAAACACTTTGTCAAACTTGGGTTCAGGAGTTCTTCATTTTTATCTTTTTTTTTTCTCGTTTGTTTTCTTCTTTGTGTTATTTTTTTCAAATTATTATTTTTTTATTCTAAATAAACACTTTCTCTTTTTCTGATTTGTTGTTTTCATTATTTTTTTTCTTATTTTGATATTCTTATTCTTCATTTTATTCTTTATCTGGTCAGTCTTTCTAATTTTTCATATTTTTATTGATTTTATGCTAACTATATTTTTGTCTTTATTTTATTTTTTCTTTATCTTTTTGTCTTTTTTGTTCTCTTATACTGTATTTTCTTCTTATTCTAATATTTTATTCTTCATTTTATTATTTTTCTTGTCATTTTTTTCTTATGTTCTTGTACTTAATAATTTTTTAATTTTTAATTTTTTAATTTGAAAAAATGCCTCCAATCTTCCACGCTAAAGTTTGTATTTTTATTTTATTAATGTCTCCCGTCTCCCTGAAAGGCAGGCCCTCACGTAAATGTTTGTCTTTGTATGCTTTCTCATCTGTCTGACACTGAAATTATTATTTTATTTTGTATTTTCCAATTGCCCTTTCTGTCCAGATGTTCGGAAGACAATCGTTGGCCAAAGCATCGGTGGGGTCATCTACTCGCTGTTCGCCGGTTCTCCTTTAGTCATTCCTCTGACCACAGCGCCGCTCGCCATCTTCATCAGCGGTAGGCTTCCCCTCTGCTCATCAAGTTCACGTCTCGCAGTTTGAGCCAGCAGACACTTTGAGGGTTACTTGGAGGAAGCCATCAGTTAAATTTATTTTATTTGAACTCAATTCAGTTTATTTATATAGCACCAGATCACAACAGAAGTTGTCTCAGGGCACTGAACATAAACATTCACATACATTAATAAAAGTTATCTATCTAAGGAAGGAAGCCAGCAGATTGCGTTGAATCTTGACTTCGTCACAGTCTCACATCCTGAGCAAGCACCAAGGAGACAGTGGAAAGGAAAAACTCCCTTTTAACAGGAAGAAACCTCCAGCAGAACCAGGCTCAGGACGAGTGACGGTCTGCTTTGACTGCTGGGTTTGAGAGGACAGGAAGGAGAAACGAACACAGAATGGCAGGTGCACCCCCTACTGGAAGAAAGACACAAAAAAAACATGCTCAGAGAAATAATTACAAATACATACATGTAGAGTAGAGCAAGTAAAGACAGCATCATAGTGAGGAAATGTGGTCAGTTTGTCCTCCAGCAATCTTAATCCTATAGCAGCAGAACTAAAGACTATCTCAGGAAACCAAGACAACCCTAACTATAGGATTTATCAAAGAGAAAATACTTAAGTCTAATCTTAAAAGTAGACAACGTGTCAGCATCCCATTCTGCTTTTGGAAACTCTAGGAACCATAAGTAAACCTGCAGTCTGAGAGTGAAGTGCCCTGTTAGGAAGATATGGAACAATAAGATCTGTAATATAAGATGGAGCTAGGTTGTTGAGAGCTTTGTATGTTTTAACCAAAAAAATCTTGCAAAGTTTGATTAAAAAAACTTTTTGTGCTTCTTAAGTGTTCTTAGTGTAGTACAGAAAAAGTCACAAATAAGTATGTAAAAAGGGAGATAATGACCAGAATTATTTTAATATTCTTTTTTTTTTTTAATCACCGTATTGTAAAAGATGATTTCAGGAGCCTGCAGATTTGTTCGGTACGTGCAGAAACCAGAAAACCTTTTCTTCAGTTCAGAGACGCAATAAAACGAACCTTTGTGAAGCATTTTGGCCAAACAACAATGCTTTGTTGGAAGAAATGTAAATTATCTTAAAAGCTGGAAGCAGCAAACCTCCACAATAATGAAGGAGAGCGTGCACTTTGATGCCAGGATGTAGTTTTAATAGTGGAGTTGTTTGCTTGGTTTGTGGTGCGATGATCTTTGAAGTAAATGAGTTGGAGCTGCGCAGGAACGTTCTCAAGGGCATGTTTGTAGTTTAATTCCAGGAGCTTGTTGGAGCAGAACAGTGGCTTGTTTTTAAAGTTGTAAATCAAGATTTCAGCTAAATTGCTGCGCTTACAACAGACTCATTACCGTTTTTATGTGAGGATGAAGAGATGTTTTTCTCCTATTTTCTATGTAGACATAATCTTTGCCGGAGGTCATAGAAAAATATGTAATTAAGTTGTGTTTGAATTTGTTGAGTACTTGCAAAACTGATGTGGATTGCTGGATACACAGTTGGTTCTATTTTTTTTCAGTTTTAAAACTGAATTGTTCAGATAAATCGACATTGATCTGTTTATTTATGATGGTTCACGGTTTAATTTTAACAGAGGTTTTCTCAGCCTTTACAAATTAAACTGTAAAGACTCTTTTTACGATGTTCTTAATTTAAAATACACCACAATAACGTAGGAGACTTGGACAGCTGGAGTTGTCCAGCTACTAAAATAAAGTGTTTATTTATTTGTAAAACACGAATAACTTGTTATTTGGTTGTTTAGTTGATTTTTGGTTTGGTTTTATGGGTAACTAGCTGACTGGTTTGTTGTTTGTCTACATAGTTCCTTGTTTGCTGGTTGGATGATAAGTTGGCTGGTTGGTTAATTAAATGAATGGTTGGATGATTGACCGACTGGATGGTTAATTGGCTGGTTATTTGGTTAATTGGCCGGTTGGTTGGTTGATTAATTTGGTTGGTTGATTGGTTAATAGGCTGGTTGGTTGTTAATTGACTGGTTGGATGGTTAATTTGAAGGATGGATGGTTAATTTGCTGGTTGGATGGTTAGATAATTGGCTGGTTGGTTGGTTAATTTTCTGGTTGGTTGAATAATTGGCTGGTTGGTTGGTTAATTTTCTGGTTGATTGGTTAATTGGCTGTTGAATGATTGGCAGGTTGGATGGTCAATTGGCTGGTTAGCTGGTTAATTTGCTGGTTGGATGTTTAGCTAATTGACTGGTTGATTGATTAATATGTTGTTTGGATATTTAATTGACTGGCTGGTTGTTGAATTAGCTGTTTGTATGGTTAATTGGCTGATTGGCTGGTTGATTGGCTGGTTGTTTGGTTAATTAGCTGGTTGTATGTTAATTGGATGATTGGCTGGTTGTTTGGTAAATTAGCTGTTTGGTTGTTGAATTAGCTGGTTGGATGATTATTTTGCTGGTTGGATGGTTAGTTAGCTGGTTGGCTGGTTAATTAGCTGGTTGGATGGTTGGTTAATTGGCTGGTTGGATGGTTGGTTGGTTAATTAGCTGGTTGATTGGTTAATTAGCTGTTTGTTAATTTGCTGGTTGGCTGGTTGATTAATTGGCTGGTTGGATGGTTGGTTGGTTGGTTGTTTGGTTAATTAACCGTTTGGTTGCATGATTAATTTGCTGGTTGGATGGTTAATTATCTGGTTGGATGGTTAATTGGCTGGTTGGTTGGTTGGTTAATTGGCTGGTTGCTTGGTTAATTAGCTGTTTAGATTGTTAATTAACTGTTTGGATGGTTAACTGGCTGGTTGGATGGTTAATTATTTGGTTGGCTGGTTAATTTGCTGGTTGGATGGTTAACTGGCTGGTTGGATGTTTGGTTGATAATTAATTGGTTGTCTGATTCTCTTCATGTGCACTCTGGCTCTCAGTGATCCGAGGAATTTGTGATGACTACAACCTAGATTTTCCAGCTTTCTACGCCTGCATCGGTTTATGGAACTGCCTCTTCCTCATCCTGGGAGGGCTCTTCAACGTCAGCCTGCTCATGAAGCTCTTCAAAAGGTTTCTCCTGCACACATTTTAATTGATCAGTTTGATGTCATTTTACCTCAGACCAATTAATTTACTGTAATCTGTTCCTATGTACTCTTCACTCGCATCCTTTTTTGTAACATATGAGTGTGTTTTTAAAACGTGTGGTTTCCACAGTGTCTGCAGAAAAACTTCTCACACTTAGTTTGATTTTAAAGCAAAATACACTAAAAGATTTGCAGATTTTGTTACCTAGTTGTTGTTTGTTTGTTTGTTTTTTTTTTTTTAGGTAAAACAGAGTTCCGTTTTCTGATCATTCTGCTAAGAAATATATGAGAAAGATTAGAAAAAGCTTTTAAAATCTTTCACATGATGTTTGGTTTTATAGCCCCAAAGATGTGGCAGGAAGTGAAAGCTGGACATTATGAAAATTAGTTTTGTTATAAATGTTGTTAAATGTTTAATTTCATGGTCATCGTACCACTTTAGGTAACGTCTTAAATAAATACACAAACTGTTTTCATGAAGTTAACCTCATTTAAACTTTGTTTTTCATCCTTCCAACGCTCTTTTCTGCTGGGATGTTTGTAGGTCCACAGAGGAGGTTATTGCTCTCTTCATATCCATTGCGTTTGTAGTCGATGCTGTGAAGGGCACCGTAAAAAGTAAGTTATCGAACATTTGAAGCTTTTGTGTCTCATTTTCTTGTTGTTGGTTAAACTGGGAGATGTGTTTTGCCAGAATGCAGTAATATTTAAGATAAGTCTGAAAACCTGGTCTGTTCCTACCTGAACGCTCTGGATGTGCTTTCAGTTTTTTACAGGTACTACCACGTTCCAACTCCAGCAAATGGAAGCACGGAGTACTTTCCTCAGGGTGGAGATCTGCTGGGGGGGAACAGGAGTGAGGTGATAGTCGGGTCAGTGTTCGGTGCGCTCCCCGAGTCCCTCGTCCAGTGCACTCGAGAGAGGCCCGTCCTTTGCCTCCTGCTGATGCTCGGGACGTTGTGGATGGGCTATACTCTGTACCAGTTCAAACGAAGGTATGTGCAGCCCGACCGATAAATCACCTGAGAACTTTAAATCATGTTCAGACGGGAGCACCGCAGGGCCTCAGCTCTAGAGATTATCAGAAATGATGGAGTTACAGAAACGTCCCAGATTACAAAACTCACGTTTCAGTCGAAAGTTCAGTCCCAGCCTTTGGTTTAAACCCAGAAGTCCCTTTAACTTTATGACATATTAATTTATTTACCTTTATTTAACCCTAACTCCCACTGAGTTCACAGAGCTCTTCTGCAAGGGAGGCCTTGGACATACATGTTTTGATTAAAGACAAGTAAATAATAAATAATAAAATTAATAATGACAGTTAAGGGAAGAGGGGAAAAATAGACTATCTTATTTAACTGCTTAAATATACAGTTTTTTTATATGTATATTTTTTCCCACAATAAATAAGTTGATCTTTAAAGCTGTCTCAATCTGAAATAAAAAATATTAATCAGAAATGAATAGCTAAAAATTTTAGCTCTTGTTTGAAAATTTAACTACACATTTCAGTGATTTTTTTTTTTAAGTGACTAAATATTTATTTAATAACAATATTAAATAAATAAATAAATAAACAAACAAAAAAATATTTATTTACGTATTTATAAAGAAGCATTTTCCCCCCATTAATATACCCAAATTATTTTTTTGACAATTATTTTAAATTCCAGTCTGGAGTTTTGTGGAGACCCTCCAGCCCACGCAACTCTTCAGATCCAGTTGAAAATGAGGTCAAACTTATATATATGTTTTGATGGCAGAACATAAAGATTTTTTTGCATAATTAAAAAAAAAAGATTAATTTTATATATTTTTTCCAAACTTACTCATGCACAACGCCAGTTTCTCTTTTGATCTTTGCTTTTTCTGACGGAGTCAACCGTTGTGCGTCCGATTCTGCAGCCTGCAAGCATGCGGAACATATTTTTTTATACTAAACATTTATTTGTGCAACATGCAAGTGAGTTTTTGCTCTTTACATCCAAACTAAAACAGATGAAAGGTGGAAATCTGCAGCGAGTCCTATCTCTGAAAAAGGCGTCTTTGCCCGGGTGAAATGTTTAAAAACGAGTGCATTAAAGTTACTGAGGTTTGAAAATATTCTGACAAAATTTAAAAAAACGATTTTTAGGCTTTGTGAGAAAAATTTGTGTTTATTGACTGCACCAAAATAAAAATAAATGCATTAAAACACGGACAAAAATGAATGTGTGGTCAATTCTTCCCCGTAAGGTCTTTTAATGGTTACAAGGTAAAATATTCTACTTCTGATTGCTCTTTGTAATGACATCCACTTCAAGCTGTGTTCAGCTGTGAGCTAGAGGCAGGGTGGGGTTCTTCAGCGGGGGCAGTCATTGTCCTCGTCCTGTCCACAGTTACTGAGCTCTTCTTTGTGTTTCTGTGTCTCAGTCCGTTCCTGCACGCCAAAGTCCGAGAGGTTCTGTCGGACTGCGCCCTGCCCATCTCCGTGCTCCTCTTCTCCTTCATCGGATCCTACCTGTTCAGTGACATTGAGCGTTAGTATTTGTCATTTTTTCTGCTTACAGTTATTATGGTGTCTCAAACCTTTACTTCTAAAACCATTTGGGGTGCAAATAATGTGAAATAATAAAGGTACGCTTAGCAAAGTTTGATGTCAAACATTAAAAGATTCTCTTGAACTATATCGAACGGTGCAGTCTGAAAGAGTTTACTCCGGTAGTAATTCTTTTGTCCGAAAATGTAAAAATATCGGTAAATGTTGAAATTCATTACATATTTTTAGTTTTATAATGTCACCCCCACTGACCAGATAAGCTTCCTTTAAAAAAAAACTCAATGTGGCCCATGGGCCACCAGTTGAAAATCCCAGTTGTAGCAGGTTTTGCAGGTCTGGACACATTTTATTTGGTGAGCAAAGTAGCAGAAATTACTTTGATCAAAAAGTTTGAGACTTCTAGTCTGAATTAAAACAAACTTCACTTCTTATTCTCAGTGGACACACACACACACACACACACACTAACAGCAGCAGAGGTTTTATGCAAGGCGCCGGCCTCGCTCTGAACAGACGTCATGGTTCTGGTCGAGGATGTTCCGACAGGCGCAGTCAGTGACAACCATCAACCTTTTGTCCTGCAGCCTCTTTGCCGTTATTGAATGACCCTCCACAGCCACCGTAGAAGAGCAAGTGTTTTAGTCTCGAACTAAAAGAAGAATAAATGTCACTAACGACTGTAATTTCCAACATCTTTTAATTTGAGCTCATCGTTGGGAGTTTGTTTCATCAAAGGACTTTGAGTCGTAGCTGTTTGTCCGTTTCATCAACTCGATGTTGAATCTTCACACAAAATCTCCCAAAACGTTCATGGACATGTAACACACTTGCTACTACAGAACATCCACAGACAGCCGAGAGCTACATCTGCTCTGAGGAGTTCAGTATCTGGACCTCGGATGGAGCGGGAGATGGATCAGCGTCCTCTGTAATGAGGACGTTGCTTCAGTCTGTCAAAATGAAGAAAGAGTGGAGTCGAAAAGCAAAACTGATTTTGCCTACGCTGCAGTTGATCTCCAGAGTGAATTTAAAATTAAATTCCCCAACTTTTTTTATAATTGTGTTGTCATTTCAAAGATTTAACTTACAGTATTTATTCCAGAGGCAGTCGACTCAATAAAGTGAATTTTAAATAACGTTCAGTGCGTTTTTTTTAGTTTGTTTTAAGAGAACGTGGCAGAGTTGTCATGAAGCGATGAAAAATCGAAGCGAGCTGTTGTAAAAATCTGACTTGTTCTCGTTTTTGGAGCAGTTCCGGTGTTTAAAGTTCACGACCGGCCGATCTTCAACCTGGCTCCGTTCGAGCGGCTGTCAGCCCTGAACATTGTCAGCGCCATGGGACTGGGCTTCCTCCTGGCTCTGCTCATCTTCATCGACCAGAACATTGTGGTTTCTCTCACCAACGCCCCGGAGAACAGGTACTGACCTCACGCAGACAGAGCGACACTTCATGTTCATCATCAATCAAATAACTGACAGCTGGTAAACCGTCGACACGAAACCTGAATTGTAAATTTAAAAAAATATATATATTTTTACAGAGATGATCCTCGTGCCACTCTGCAGGTCTTAACGCTCAGATCAGATGTTTTTGTGTGGTTATTATCATTTCAACATGGCCTCCATCAGACTCCATGGTTCTGAAGCGACCCGCCAAAGAAGATATGACGTCACGCGCAGCACGCTGTGTTGACAGAAGGAAACTCGAAGGCTACATGTTAGCATGCTAGCATGTCTGGATCAGTTATTTTATTATCTGATGACTGCTTGGACCAATGTTTTGACTAGATCTTGCCTCTTTCTGCGTACTATGGTGCAGAAACACACTTCTGGATGCCACCAGGTTCAGTGGTGGAGCTAGGGGGTGGCCAATGGTGGCTTTGACCCCCATAAATGAATCTTTAGCCACCCCAATCATTTGAGGAAGCTATACTTTTTAGCATCCTAATGCATGATCAATAATCCAGGTAGAAAAATCTAAAACAGTTAAGTCTGGTGCTCTGGACGGATTAAAAAAAAAAAAACTTGTTGAAATGTTTGGTCTTTAATCCAAAAGACTTCGTCAGTCTGAGGAGCTGTAACAAACTATAAATAGCACAACAGTGGATCAACCAGTTTGCTGTTGCAGATATACTTTTTAGCAAAAGAAAAACTAGAAAGGATAGTTTTCTCAAATGATCAAAGTGGTTAGTTTACATAAATTTATATATGTTGGAGTCAGTCTCTCCACCATCACAGACATCTACACCTCTAGATGCAGGAAGAGGGCCACCTGCATCACGAAGGACCCCACTCATCCAGCACACACACTTTTTGCCCCACTCCCCTCAGAAGGAGGTTGAGGAGCATTAAGTGTAGAACCACTAGACTGAGGAACAGCTTCTACCCTGAGGCTGTTAGACTCATGAATCTCTAACCAGAATAATCACTGTGAAAAATCACATCATGTTGCTGCTGATCTGTTTCATGTTGCTGCTGATCTGTTTCAATGTTGCTGCGTTCATTCGTGCTCATCTGCTCACACAGACTCATGTTCATGCTGCTGTTTGGTGAATTGTTTTTATACTATTAGTTCTTGGTGTATATTTAGTTGATGTTTTTCTTAGGTCATCTTAGACCTTATTACTGTTTTTCTTTTAAATTTTGTACTTTTGTTGGATGTAACTGGGACCCTGTGTACACAATTTCGTTCCACCACATGTGGTGTGTATGACAAATAATGAAACACTGATTCCAATATATATATATATATATATATATATATATATATACACACACACA